GGGGTTTCACCATGTTGACCAGGATGGTCTCGATCTCTTGACCTCATGATCCACCCACCTCGGCCTCCCAAAGTGCTGGGATTACAGGCTTGAGCCACCGCGCCCGGCCACTGAATTAATTTTTTAATGTAAGCAAAAATAAGGGAAGACAGTCACCCTACCATCCCTGCCAAAAACTTCGTTGTTATTTGAAACACAATTACAAGCAAAATGGGCAATGGAATGCTGTCTTGTTTTCTGCATGTGTATATCATATTTTATATGTGTGTATACATATGTATATGCATAAATATGCTATCTATACAGATATATAATATATATATTATATATTTATAATATATATATTATATATTTATAATACATATGTATTATATATTATATATATATATATATTTAGGAGAGCTAGAGCAGTATGAGTGGTTTGGTAACAAGAAGGCTTAAATGAAAAACATTATGAAAGCTAAAAATACATCGTTCAGCAAAGTTGCCTTTTATCTTTCATTTCTCATTTCCTTTGCACCCGTGGTATCATCCTATTACAAATGAAGGAAACTGGCTGGATGTGGTGCCTTGGGAGGCCAAGACAGAGAGATTGCTTGAGCCCAGGAGTTTGAGATCAGCCTGGGAAAAGTAGCAAGACCTTTCCTTTACAAAAAATTAGATGGGCATGGTGGCATGTAGTCCCAATTACTTGAGAGGCTGAGGCAGGAGGATTGTTTGAGCCGGGAGGTCGAGTGTGCAGTGAGCCATGATTGTGCCACTCCAGCCTTGGTGACAGAGTGAGACACTGTCTCAAAAAGAAAAAAATAAAGTAAGAAACACACAAATCTGAAAAGGCACATTCCTGATAACAGGATGAAAATAAGAAGGCCTTAACAGCTTATATTTACACTAAAAATGTAAAATGGCCAGATCAGATCAGCTCACTTAAAAAGTCCTTCCTGGCTAGGTGTGGTGGCTCATGCCTGCAATCCCAGCACTTTGGGAGGCTGAGAGGTGAGAGGATCACTTGAGCTCAGGAGTTAATCAATCAGCCTGGGCAACATAACAAGACCTTGTCTCTAAAAAAAAAAAATTAAAAATTAGCCAGGTGTGGTGGCTTCCACTGCAGTCCAAGCCACAGGCTGAGGTGGGTGGATTGCTTGAGCTGAGGAGGTGGAGGTTGCAGTGAACTGTGATTGTGCCACTGTACTGCAGCCTGGGTGACAGCAAGAACCTGTCTAAAAAAAAAAAAAAAATCCTTCCTGTGAACAAGAAACTATTGTTTAGATGTCATAATTCCTTATTAAATGGATGCTTCTACATAACTGAATGAGATTCTCTGGGAGATTACATGTTTCTAAGTGCAGAAGACTTTCAGAAATAAACGTAAGATGTTATCATGTTTCTTCAATTATAATATATCCTTAACTCGTGGTGCCGGACACAGAAAATTTCTGGAATAATGTGTATTTGCAAAATTTGACAATATTCAGGTATGTATGCCAGACACGGGAGCAGAAATTAGTTAATAAAATACTCTTAATTTTTCCTGATATCACTGATTGTGCCTTTTTGTCTAGCAGTGATAGCCCTGTGCTGTTATTTTATATGAGTTCCTCGTTAGCAAACTAAAAGTACTTTCAAATATTCTGCATTATTTTTGATATCCAGGATAAAAGTCATCTACTATGGTGCTGCAAAATTTATAATTTTAAGTATATATTTACAAATATACGTGTATATACATATGTCAAGTTTAGTTGGGAAAATACCCCATAGTAAATTCAGCTCAGCTATTGAGAGGTTTGCTTTGCTTTGTTGTTTTGTAAGAGATATAAAGTGATATTAACTGAAAGATAATCTTCCTGCTCTTGTGTTTACAAACCAACCTGATTATGATGCACCCACTAATTTTTAGGCTGCACAATTTCATAGAGGCTATGGATGCAAATGTATGCAAGAGAGTACTGGCAATGAGCTATTTAGATAACACACCAGGAGGATCGGTTTGGGTCCTGAGATGACTTAGCCAGGAGGAGAAAAGAATAAGGAATGGCGATATAGCAAAGAATGGCAGCCAATTATCCGAGAGCGTTACTGATTCCTTGTCATTGGTCCACTGTTTGCTATGTATTGGAATTCGTAATTTTCTCTAGCTACCTTTAAAAATAGAATCATCAATGCCTCATGAGACAAAGTAGAGCCTGCTGTGGAATCTAGAGATAAAGCTGAATGACCTTTCAAGGTTCCCTTTCCAAACCAATATAAAAACAAAGAATAAGATACCAGCATTACTCAACAGACCTGGTTACAATAAGTATGAATTACAATGCAGGAACATATGTCATTTCTTACACAAACAGTGAGGCAGGCTATTGGATATTGCTTTAAGATATTATGTGGTCAGCTGAAGCAAGATGACACATGCAAATCTTTTTCATAAATCAAAGTATAATCTCACAAATTCTCCATATAAATAGCCTCAGGAGGGGCTGCTCTGATGAAATTGAAAATATCTCCTCCATATGTGCAGTTTTAGGCTTTATAACATTTAAAGAAAATATTCTAAAAGATAACATTGGCATGTAAAAAGCAAGGGGAAAGGAATCAGCAATGATCAGAGCAAAACAATTCTAGAAGGCATCTTAATTTTCATATGGCTCATTTGCATTTGAAACACTGAGAATTCCTATCTCACTTGTACCAAATGTGTACATATTAAATTACTTTGCACTTGAAAGAACATTTTCCTAAATGTTTGGAAGATGATCAAATTTTAACTGGAGGACTTGTTTTCTTCCATCAGGTGTGGGGGAGATGTGGCTTCCTGGTATGAGAGGCAACAGTTGATTCTAATGGCAGAAGAAGACAAAAATAAGAAAGTAAATTGAAAACAATTCCTATTTGTACAGTTTGATTTAAAGATGATAAGACAAGTGGATACTTACGGTACAAAGATGTCAAAAAACATCAATTTTAAAAGTAAGTAGGGTTACCTTTCAAAAATTGTGATTCTCTGATACCTGAAAATTAGGTTCTATTACTTATTCTAGGATTCCCATGGATATACTATTATTTATTTCAGTATACTTAATCTGAGTGTCTAGTCAATGTTTAAAAGGTAGATGCCCATCAGCTACTATACAATAATTCCAGGAGACTACATTGTATCCATCTCAAAAAAAAAATATTTTCTTTTGAGACACCGTTTCATTCTGTTGCCCAGGCTGGAGTGCATGGTGCAATCTCAGCTCACTGCAACTGCCGCCTCCCGGATTCAAGTGATTCTTGTGCCTCAGCCTCCCAAGTAGCCGGGAATACAAGTGTGAGCCACCATGTCCAGCTAATTTTTGTATTTTGGTAAAGACAGAGTTTCACCATGTTGGCCAGGTAGGTCTTGAACTCCTGACCTCAGGTGATCCACCTGCCTCAGTCTCCCAAAATGCTGGGATTATAGGCATGGGCCACCCACCTGGCCTCAAATTTTTTAATAGCTAGGATATTGGCAGAACAGCAAAGAAAAACAAAAACCTCTTTATTATCAACTTTAAACATTAGTCTTAAGGAAACCACAATGAATGAAAAGACTTTTTCTGTAACATTTATTTTCTGATATGGTAAAATGTCTAGGATTCAGGTGTGTCTTCTGAAAGCAAACCAGAACTTGAAAGGCACCCCTGTCTTTCTCTTGGCCTGGCTCCCTGGGCACCTCACTTGAAGGAGAGAGCTGGCCTCATGGTGGGTGCTACAGTGGAGCCCACCATGCAGAGGTGGATAGGATGCAGTTCACAGAGCATGGAGAACATGACCTGATCTCTGTAAATAAGATTCTCTAGATGTATGCTGCCCTTTGTGCTTCTTTCCTTTTGTTGCCTCTGGGCCTTTTGGAAGGCCTTGTTTACAGTCCCTGATGTGTATCAGCTGGGGCTACAGGCATTGAAGGAAAGGGTAACACAGCTGTAAACCCAAGCAGAGAGCTGGAGGTGTGAAGGGAGAGCAGCACCCAACCCCCTTGAGGCAAGGCAAGCTCCATGACAGATCCCCAGGTAGACATGATTAGGGGGACCAGGAGGCCAGCCGGGGCAGCCGACACTGTGCACCCTCCCAGGCCAGTGAGGGGGAAATCCAGTGAAACTTTATTTATTTATTTATTTATCTATTTTTGAGATGAAGTCTTGCTCTGTTGCCCAGGCTGGAGATTGCAGGCTCACTGCAAACTCTGCCTCCCGGTTTCAAGCGATTCTTCTGCCTCAGTCTCCCAAGTAGCTGGGTTACCGGCGCTCACCTTCATACCCGGCTAATTTTTGTATTTTTAGAAGAGACAGGGTTTGGCCATGTTGACCAAGCTGGTCTAGAACTCCTGACCTAAATTAATTCACCCACCTTGGCCTCCCAAAGTGCTGGGATTACAGGCGTGAGCCACCGCTCACTGCCTGAGATGTTTTTAACAGGACAATGTCCTTTTATACACAATTCGCACTCTTTCAAATTGCTGCGTCAGCAATCCTGATTTAAATTATTATTATTTTTGTTATTTAAGTATAAGCTGCATTGGGCTTGATATGCAAACACTTAACGGTAAAAGATAAAATGGTCCATGTAATCAAAATATGGATATCTAGAGATTTTGGATACACAGCAATGATTTAACATTTCATCTTCTTGGTAAGTTTGATTTTTCTCTGTAAACAAACTTCTATTTTAACTCTTAAAAAGTTGGAAAAAAACAACACTTTCTTCCTTTATGGAAAGCATGCTAATGAGAAGACAAATGATTGAAAATTAAATTGAAGATGAAAGATTAAGCAAATGCAAAATGTGAAAATTGCTAGCCTCTGATAAATTGAAAATTACCAACTTGGTTTATTATTAGGCAATGTTCATCTACTTATTTATTTGAACAGTATTAAGTACCTTCTATGTGTCAGATATTGTTTTAGGTGTTGGGTTTGCCAGGTGAGGAAAAGCCCTGAACCAAAAGAAACCCATTTCCATGGAGTTTACGTTTTAACTTCAAAGTTTTCTGAAAGCAAGTGAAGGACAGTCACCTGATAAACTGCAGAATTAATGTTTGTCGTTAACAGTCACCGTACTGTTCGCAATATTGGCACACTGGATAGAATTTGGTTCCCAGATGTCTGGGTTTCATTCCTTTGTGCCTGGCAGAGCTTGATTTTGAGAAAAAGCCTAGGAAAGGCAGACTTATGTGCCTGCTGTGGGTGAAAAGATGGAAGAGTCAGGTTACCTTTATTGCACATCTGGAGGCTACAGAAAGGTACTTGGATTCCTTTGTAATGCTGGCAAAACTCAGTCCTGTTGTAAACAGGGTTTTATTGTATGTAGCTGTTATATTAGGAGTATACAATCTCATGGGTGGTATATCCAATCACAGCAGCCAAAGAGTTGTGTAACGATTTGATTCAAGTGTGTTTGGAATAAGATTTTGCAATCATCTTGATATTTTCATTGTTGTATGGTTTTATTACATCAATTACCAATATTTGTTAAGCTAGACTAATATAACTACACCATACAAAGGAAAGGTCTTGCTGTCCACCTTGTCTCAGTTTGAAAGGTAGACAAATGAAAACAAAAAAGGAATTATTTTTATAGCACTTTAACTTTTGAGTGGAAGTACCTGCTGGCGTCTTCTGTTTCTTCCCTCATTACGTGCTTTTCTTTTAATTTGGTCCTCGCAAAAAGAATCAAAGTAGGAGCTCTCTAGGAGTTGGGAACAGGTTAATCTGTCATCTGGATTCATCTTCAGACACCCCTTTGGAGGAAGAGAATAGCAAAGAAGATATTAAGGGAGGGGCTTATTTTGTTACAGTGCCCACAAACTGAATAATAACTTGTTAGGATAAATATGAGTTTAGAAAATCTTCAAGTTTGTATATTATCAAGTAGTTGGTGCTTTATAATAGCTAGGATTGCTCTTCTTTTGCCACTTCCAAGTCTTTTGAGGACAGAATGAATAGACAATGTCTCTCCAAAAGAGGCCACCTGAGGTCCGGTGTTCCCACCAATGACACTTAAAAATCACTATGGAAAACAAATCATTTGTAGCAGTCTGCAGAGTGTAGTCCCTGGATTAAAAACATCAGCCTTGCAGGAACTTGCTAGAAATGCAAATTCTTGGGTCCTACACCCCACCTGCCAAGTGGAATTGAAGCAGTGGAGGTGGGGCCCGGCAGTTTGTGTTTAACAAGCCCTCTGGGTGATTCTGATGCCCATATGCTCAGGTTTGAGAACCTCTGGGTTAAGGAGATGGCTGAGGAAGTGAGAACCTCAGTCAATGAGAATGAACCTAAAACAAGGAGAAATGGACTACATATTCATTTAAGAATAACTACAGGTAGGCAGGGTGTGGTGGCTCACGCCTATAATCCTAGCACTTTGGGAAGCCAAGGTGGGTGGATCACGAGGTCAGGAATTTGAGACCAGCCTGGCCAAGACGGTGAAACCCTGTCTCTACTAAAAATACAAAAATTAGCTGGGCACGGTGGCAGGTGCCTGTAATCCCAGCTACTCAGGAGGCTGAGGCAGGAGAATCGCTTGAACCTGGGACGTCAAGGTGGCAGTGTGCCGAGATCGTGCCACTGCATTCTAGCCTGGGTGACAGAGCAAGACTCTGTATTAAAAAAAAACTTCAGTCATTATGACCCTTCTGTATTTGAGACCATTAAAAGCCTCTAGGTCTGCTTCTGAGACTGGGGAGGAGTATCACAGCAGAGGGCTCAGTGGGGCACCTAATACAAAGAGGTTTTCTCTGAGAAACACTGATATTCCAGCCAGAGAGTAGGACTTTGTCCATCAATAAAGACAGATTATGATCCATAAACAGCAGCTTTAAGCCAGACCTGGTGGCTCATGCCTGTAATCCCAGCACTTTGGGAGGCCAGAAGTTTAGAACAGTCTGGGCAACATAGTGAGACCCCATCTCTCCCTTATTTTCATTTTTAAAAAGAGCAGCTTTACAACACCCAGGCACAGACGACCTGACAATTCTTCCCTTCTATCCATAAGAGAGAAATAAGGGTCACCACCATCACAAACATTTGAGGCATTCTCAAGCCCAGACAATTGCGTTACCTGAGGCTGCCTCAGCTGGGACTACCCTGTAGTGTCTGTTCCTCCCTGACCCCAACTGACCTCAGTTCTCTGAGATCCCCAAGCTGCCTGCCCCTAAGTAGTATCACCTGGCCCTTGGCAAGGGCTCTGATTAGTCCTGTTCTTCAAGAAACAATTCTGCTCAGCAAAACTAGACTCACCTGTTCCTCCATGTCTACTGCCTGCTCCAAGCTGATGACCCCTAATTAATGACCCAAGCCATACATCAACTCCAGCTGCTGCTGGAAAAGCAGTCTCCTCAAACCCTAATACTGTCAGGGCTATCACCAGGACAGAAAAACTTTTTTTCGTTTTTGCAATAAAGTCTTGTTCTGTCACCCAGGCTGGAGTGCAGTGGCATGACCTTGGCTCACTGCAAACTCCACTTCCCGGGTTTGAGCGATTCTCATGCCTCAGCCTCCAAATAGCTGGAATTACACGCGTGTGCAACCATGCTGGGTACATTTTTGTATTTTCAGTAGAGACGAGTTTCACCATGTTGGCCAGGCTGTTCTCAAACTCCTTATCTCAAGTGATGTTCCCGCCTCAGCCTCCCAGTGCTGGGATTATAGGCGTGAGCCACTGCACCCAGCCAGAAAGACTATTTTGAATACAAACTGTGATAGTCTCTATTTCTTTAGCACTCCATTCTGGCTTTTGCTTCCGTTGTTCCATTAAAGTGGCTTTTTTTTTTCTTTGAGACAGAGTCTCGCTCTGTTGCCCAGGCTGTAGTGCAATGGTGCAATCTCGGCTCACTGCAACCTCCTAGGTGCAAGCAATTTTCTACCTCAGCCTCCCCAGTAGCTGGGATTACAGGCATTACAGTTTTTAGTAGAGATGAGGTTTCACCATCTTGGCCAGGGTGGTGTTAAACTCCTGACTTTGTGATTCACCCACCTAGGTCTCCCAAAGTGCTGGGATTACAGGCATGAGCCACTGTGCCTGGCCTCTTGTTATTAATACCTCTGGCCTCTACTTCCATATCCTTCAACCCATTATGTATTTTGAATTGTCTTCTGTCTCAAGAGTATTAGACACTTCTGAGCAAGCCCTCCTTCTTAAAACTTTCTTTCTCTTTGGCTTCTCTAATCTCTCACTTTCCTTCCTCTTCCCTCCTGGCTACTCCCTTTCAAACCAGCCTTTGCTAGTTTACCTTCTTCTCCTCTATGGTTGGATAAATTCCTCAAGGCCAAATCCTAGTCACCCCTTTTTTTTCTCATCTCTTCTTGGTTTCTAGGTGATCTCTTGGCTGCCTATGGATTCAATTATCAAAGTTAACCAGAGATGTCCACATCTACAATTCCGTTCCAGACCTCCCCTATGAACTCCAGACCTGCGGGTGCAACTGCTAACTTAACATCTGTCTCAAGGTCACTGTTAAGGGTTGAGTGTGGCACCCCAAAAACATATATATTGAAGTTCTAACTCCCAGCACCTCAGAATGTTCCCTTGTATGGAAATAAGGTCTTTGCAGATGTAATTAGTGAAGGTCATAACGGTGCAGGGTAGACTCCCTAATCCAATTACAATTGGTTTCCTTATATGAAAAGGGAAGATGGTTAGACAGACACACAGAGAGAATGCCATGCTATGATGGACGCAGAAAGTGGAGTTACATTACCACAAGTCAACAAATGCTTGGGGCTACCAGAAGCTGGAATTGGCAAGGAAAGACCCTCGCCAAGAGTTTTCAGAGAAAGCCCAGACCTGCCAAGACCTGAGAAACCAATACAGGTACTGTACCCTTGCCAACTCTTCTACTTTACTCCCCAGATAGCAGTTATAATTAAGTCCTATTGGTTTTCCTTTCAAATATATCTTGAATTTATTCATGTTTATTTTTTTTCAGAGATGAGGTTTCACTGTCGCCCAGGCTGCAGTGCAGTGGCACAATCATGGCTCACTGCAGCCTTCAACTCCTGGGCTCAAAGCAAACCTCCTGCCTTAGCCTCCCAAGTAGCTGGGAATACAGGCAAGTGCCACCATGTCTGGATAATTTTTATTTATTTTTTATGTTTTGTAGAGACAGGGTCTGACTTTTTTGTCCAGACTGATCTCAAACACCTGGGCTTGAGCGATTCTCCCGCCTTAGACTCCCAAAGTGCTAAGATTATACGCATGAGCCACCATGCCCAGCCTCATTCATGTTTTTATATGAGCTTTCAAAACTAGTGAAATCTAGTCCATCACTAAACACCTATGAATTTTCATTTTAAAGAACATTTTTAGACTCTTAGAAGACGCTGCTAATGCTAAGCTCTCCATGGAGTCTGAGCTGGAAATTTGTACTGCTTGACTAATTCTGGAGCATTGAGATGAGCTGAGTAAGAACTGAGGCTTCTGAGTCCTTGCTTTCCTGGATTAATAATTTTCTGTATATCAAGAAGCTGATGAATTATCAGAGGTGTTCTCTGTAGAACACCTAACCAGAAGATGTCTTGAAGATAGGAGATGAGAAATCAGAACTGTAAAGTCCAAGTCAGGATTCTTTTCTTAAATCCAAACTTCAAATTTCACAGAAAATGCTCTAATCAAATTTCCAGTAGTCTATACGCTTACTTCTTGATGACCAGATTAAGCTGATACAGTGGTAGGATAGTCATGACTACAGAAATAAATGAGTAATAAATAAGAAAGACTGTGCTCATGGTCTCATTTTAAACCTTATGAATAGAACACGAAAGACCTGCCATAGATTGGCCACTGCATGCCACCACTCTCCTTGGCTCTGCCATTGGCCAATACGCCATTCACCTGAGTAGTTCCCTGCATAGGTTATGATTCCATCCCATGGGATGAACACCAGTTATGGTAGCCAGTTATTTATTTGCTGTTAAAGATATCTCAATTGCAAAGAATTAAAGTCTTCTTTCATCTAACATGGGGCAGGAGTCCACAAGATAGGGTTTGGCTCATGAAACAGCACAGTCCTTAATGCACTTAGAAGATTCTTGAGTTTTAGGTTGATACTTATGGGTCTAAATAAAATAGTTGAGTAACAAACCTAGCTTCATCTAAAACCTTAGGCAGCCAACAAGGGCTCTTCATCTTTGGAGATCAGGACAGGGAACTTGTCCTACATCTTGCAGTTTTCATGCCCCAGAGTTGCTTTCCAGGGAACCACAGGTTCTGGCTTCCATCTGAGAATTGGTTGAGTTTGCAGTGCATGATGCCTCCCTCTTCTCTTGGAGGTTTTGCTAAATTGCAGGTGGGTTAGAACAACTTTTCAAGAACAAGGTCGGGGAATTGGACTTCTAGATAGGGCCTGCTGAGTGCTGGGTGAAGGCAGGTCTGGGCAGTAAGATAGGGCAGATGGCAGCTGAAGTCTGGTGAAGCAATGGTATGAGGAGTCTGAGAGCACAGGGGTATGGGGTTCTGACTCTCAGGAGGACCCAGGTTGAGGTCAGTGAGAACTCAGCAAAGCAATTCAGCACTCTGGTTAGCAACATGACAGTGACAAGCGCTTGCACAAAGGCTGGTCTACAAAGTTGACTACAGGTCATCCAAATGGCCCCACCATCTAGATCAGATGAGTCTCAAACTGAGCAGTTTATCATAATCATAAAAGGGCATGTTTAAAGATACACATGCCAAGGTCCCACTCATGAAAATTCTCCTTCTGAATCTGAGGCTAGATACTGGAATCCGTATTTTTCAAAAGCTCCCAGGCCATTCTGATGAGTAGCCACATTTGGAAGACACTGCTGTAGACAGAACTTAATTGATTGTTAAAGATAGATACCCCCTCTGGTATCCTCATACCCATTGTCCAATGGGCTTTTGGTATGCATGATAGATGGCAGGGTCACACACCTTCTGGTGTGGCCCCATTTGGTCAAACATGAATGGCAGACTAGTCTTAGGTAAGTTTCTTCTGCTTTTTATTTGAATCTGTCCTTTTGACCATCTCTCTTGGGCCCAGTACAGGAGTTAGGTCTGGTATCTGCATGGCTCTGATTTTGCTTCATCTACTAATGTTAATGGATATGTTAGAACAATTACTCCTTAAACCACTGATATTCCTTTAACTGGAATGATTTGACAGTTCTTTATCATTTTTAATGACTACATCCTATGTTGGCATCATTTAACCCACTGTCCACCCCCTTCCAAATTACCAGCTTCAGTCATTACAATTTGTAGGTAATAAGAGTTAGAATTGATGCTTAAGTACCTTCATGAAGTTCAGAGCCACAGTATGAGCATCTGAAAACTTTTCCTCAAGAGTTTCCTAGAAAACAAAGTTAAAACATTCACTATTACATAACAACAAGGTAATATGTGTGTATGTGTATGTGTTTGTGTATGTGTGTGTATATTTAGTGGCAGGGTCTCCCTCTGTCCCTCAGGCTGAAGTACAGTGGCATGATAATAGCTTACGCTAACCTTGAACTCCTGAGCTCAAGAGATTTTTCCACGTCAGCCTCCTGAGTGGCTAGGACTACAGGTGGGTATCATCACACCCAGCTAATTTTTAAATTTTTTGTAGAGATGGGGTCTTGCTAAGTTGTATGAGCTGGTCTCAAACTTCTGGGCCTCAAGTGACTCTCCTGTCTCAGTCTCCCAAAGTGCTGGGATTATAGGGATGAACCACCTCACCTAGCCTATATTTTGAGTATATTAGTAATGCCAACACTTTAAGGAAAGACTCTCTAGTAGGTTGAATAATTCATTTTTGATTTTTTTTAAAAACTATGCTTTTATATAATTGTATATTGTAAAGATCTGAAATACATAAAACTGAAGTTATTTTCTTAATTTCACAATGTCTGGCAGTTGATGCTGGGTAAATGTGGGTCCCGAACACTCCCATCTGAAATCCTACAACAGTATTATAATATCTGTGCCTGATCTACTTCTAAGGATGTTTTTGAGTATTCATGAAAATACACTGGACTACATGCATAAGGGCACTACAGAAATCAAAAGAATGAAAAACACAACATTCAGAATGATGAGGAAAGAAGGGGATGGAGATGCTTGAAAGATAACAGTGGGAATCTACTTCTTTAACTGGGCAGCAGACACTAAAGTTTGTTGTAGTTTATTCTTTAAACACGTTACATAAATATTCCTTTGCAACATTTAACCTTGCAGTTCCACCTTGAACCTTGTCTTACATTTGTTAAAGGTTTTAACAAATACAATAAAAAAGGAAACCAGTATATAAATCAAGATATTATATGAAATAATTGATTTTAAATGAACAGGGTATCTAGAGATGGTTGGGACTATTTGGACCTCAAGTTATTTGGACAGTTCACACCTGTCATAGATCACAATCTGCCTTCTCAGACTTTTCCCCATCCCCACATGGCTCTGACTCCAGCACAGCTGGAGTGCAGACACATGATTTTCCTGACAGTTTTTTCTTGTATAGGCAGATTCTGGACGAAATGGAGCTTTAAAGAGCATAGGCTGAACTTAGGTAACACACACAGGAAGTCAGTGTCTACAGAGAGCAAGAGAGAGAGTCAAGTGGTCATTGATATGTTTTCAAATAAAGGCAAAGACCATTGCAAGAGTAGAGAGATGATCCCTGTGATTTGGTGTTTAATGAGTACAATGGGGATCATTTTGTTAAATAACCTTCCATGTGAAAATATACATTGAGAAAAAAGCTTTTGATTGATTTGAGCTTTGTTTTACAAGCCGAACAAAATTCAAATGCATTTTTTTCTTAAAAAATAAGACTGGCCAGGTGCAGTGGCTCATGCCTGTAATCCCAGCGCTTTGGGAGGCTGAGGCAGGTGGATCATTTGAGGTCAGCAGTTCGAGACCAGCCTGCCCAACATGGTGAAACCCTGTCTCTACTAAAAATACAAAAAATAGCTGGGTGTGGTGGTACACACCTGTAATCCTGGCTGCTCGGGAGGCTGAGGCAGGTGAATTGCTTGAACCCAGGAGGCAGAGGTTGCAGTGAGCCGAGATCATGCCACTCTACTCCAGCACTCCAACCTGGGCAACAGTGTGAGACTCTATCTCTTTTTTTTTTTTTAGAGACGGAGTTTCACTCATGTTACCCAGGCTGGAGTGCAATGGCGCGATCTCGGCTCACCGCAACCTCCGCCTCCTGGGTTCAGGCAATTCTCCTGCCTCAGCCTCCTGAGTAGCTGAAATTACAGGCAGGTGCCACCATGCCCAGCTAATTTTTTGTAGTTTTAGTAGAGATGGGGTTTCACCATGTTGACCAGGATGGTCTCGATCTGTTGACCTCGTGATCCACCCGCCTCGGCCTCCCAAAGTGCTGGGATTACAGGCTTGAGCCACCGCGCCCAGCCCCGAGACTCTATCTCTTAAAAAAAAATAAATAAATATCTAAAGTCTTTTAAATAAACATCCACTCCTGCTCTAAAATAAATAAATAAATAAGTAAAATAAGACTACTGTAAGTACTGTTTATGAGAATATAATTATTTTAGGGAAAATTATCCTAAGGCTTTGACCAATGGATCAAAAGTATGTAGTATCTGAAATAATAAATATACTTTCACTTTAAATTTAGCATTAATTTTTGAATAGATAAGACAATTAAACATTGAAAGTATTTTTCCTGGCTCATTGTAATGTAGTTTTTATATAGTTTCTTTGATATGTGTGATATGTGTGATTTGGCTCTGTGTCCCCACGCAAATCTAATCTCAAATTACAGTCCCCATGTGTCCAGGGAGGGAGTGATTGGATCATGAGGGGGGTTCCCCCATGCTGTTCTTGTGAGTGATTGTAAGGGAGTTCTCACAAGATCTGATGGTTTTAAAAGTGGCAGTTTTCCCTTGTGCCCTCACCTATCTCTCCGCTGCCTTGTGAAGAAGGTGCCTGCTTCCACTTCCTCCATGATTGTAAATTTCCTGAGGCCTCCCAAGCCATGCAGAACTGGGAGTCAATTAAACCTCTTTCCTTTATAAATTACCCAGTCTTAGGGAAGTTCTTTACAGCAGTGTGAAAATAGACTAATCCACTGTGTCAGTATTTCACAAGGAAAACAAGCCAAAAACAAATATTAAAAAAGAAACAGTCCAGGCATGGTGGCTCATATGAGTAATTCCAGCGCTTGGGGAGGCTGAGGTGGGAGGACCACTTGAGCCTCAGAGGTTGAGGCTGTAGTGAGCCATGATCTTGACATGGCACTCCAGCCTTGGTGACAGAGTGAGACATCATCTCAAAATAAATAAGAAACAACTACCATTGTAAAGAAAGCAGCAACACAAGTAATAAAATGTTCAAAATAGAGCAGTTTACCATGTCTTCTGGTTCAGGTATACTGATGCCATGGAAAAACTGGTTACTTTTAAAGATTGATTGATGTCTTGGGATTAATTTTCCTGTAAAATATAAACCACATAATTCATTGTAAATTTGGCAAGGAATAATCAAGTGTTTAAATGGTTAATGCCTGAAGGCCAGGTGTGGTAGCTCAGGTGTGGTAATCCTAGCACTTTGGAAGGCCAAGGCGGGCAGGTCCCTTGATGTCAGGAGTTCAAGATGAGCCTCGTCAATGTGGCGAAACCCCATGTCTACTAAAAATACAAAAATCAGCCAGGTGAGGTGGTATGTGCCTAATCCCAGCTACTCAGGAGGCTGAGGCAGGAGAATTTCTTGAACCTGGGAGGCAGAGGTTGCAGTGAGCTGAGATCATGCCACTGCACTCCAGCCTGGGTGACAGAGCAAGACTCCATCTCAAAAAAAAGAAAGGGGTGGGGGTGGTTAATGCCTGAAGTGCAGGTGTGAAAGAAATATTGTGTCTGATTATTCCCTCCAGAGATGGGAGGAATGGGATCCTGCAGATATATGCCTTCTCAGGTAAGGCCAGTTCTCCCAAACCAGTCTCTTTGTCATGTGTGGTTTGGTCACCATTCAGCCTCCACCAAAAGACAAGGTGAGATAATGGTACTCATCACAATGGTCTTTGCACACATTATCTCATTTAATCTCATAAATTAGATTTTATAAGACTTTATCTCATAATCTCACAACAATAGTTATTTTATTTTTTGAGATAGGGTATCTCTCTGTTGCCAAGGCTGGAGTGCAGTGGCACAATCATGGCTCATTTCAGCCTTGATCTCCCAGGCTCAAGCCACCCTTCCACTTCAGCCTCCCAAGTAGCCGGGGCTACAGGCATGTGCTACCACATCCAGCTAATTTTTAAAATTTTTTTGTAGGTATGGGGTCTGCCTATGTTGCCCAAGCTGGAGTAGTTGCTGTTTTAAATCCCCACTGTACCAATGACAAAAATGAGGCTCAGAGAAATTTAATAACTTGTCCAACATCACACAGTAACTGACAGACCCAGGATTTAAACTCAGGTTTGTAATGTAAATTTCCAGAATCTTTTTAGGGAATCAATCAGACAAAATGTGGCCTGTAGTGGTACTCTACCCCACATTTTTCATGCTGCAGAATTCTCCAGAATGTGTTGGAACTGAACAGGGAACTGTCCAGCAGCCATGCTGCCAGGAGAGCCTATGGGAGGTAATTAACAAATGCTTATCTTGTGTGTAGAGTATCACTTTCTTTGCATCCATGCTGTTGGCATGAAGCTGTGGCTCACCTTTTGGGTTATGCTGACACATAATGTAAGCTCACAAAAGAAACCCTTCGAGTCCCATATTCCTATTCTGCACTTAACTGGCTATATGACGTCGGGCCAATCACAGAAGCTCCCTAAGCCTCTGTTTCCTCATTTATAACACAGGCACAATTAAAAATGTTGTAACTTCCTTAACAGGTTTTTCTTAAGACTGAAAAAGATGATGCATATGAAAGTAATTTGTAAATTCTTATGTACTGTACAAAGAAGATGTGTTAACGTTATTCTAAACTCCAGCAGCCACTCCTAATCAGGAAGTAAAATCAGACTCTTAAGCTCTAGGGCAGAGGTCTGCCAAACTATGACCTGCAGGTCAAATCTGGCCTAATGCCTGTTTCTGTACAGCTTGTAACCTCAGAATTCAGAATTGGTTTTACATTTTTATGCAGTTTTTTTTTTTTTTTTTTTTTTTTTTTTTTTTTTTTTTTTTTTTTTTTTTTTTTTTTTTTTTTTTTT